AGCCTACTTTTCTCAACGTTGCTTTATTTCAAGATAACCCAGAGAAAAGGTACCAACCTTGGATAGTTTGTAAAATTTACCTCAACATTAACTACTAAAGATTTTCAAGTAATATATTTTCCAAATGTATAAACCTGGATTTTTATTTGGGAAATTTTCATAAAGGAACTTCAATAGAGTAATTAAGAAAATCAGAAAAGCTGAATTTGGGAGAAACAGAATCCAGCCCTACAAGTACTGCCTCTACAGTTATTCTGGACTCCACTAATAAAGTAAGTTTCCTACCTCAAAAACAGCTTTAGAAAGCATTATGAAGACTCTTCCTGAGACCATTAATATGTCAGTAAAGCCACTTGACAGTATTTTTCAGTAGTAAATCTTTGGAGTCCAAATCCTATGAATGAGCACTTTATTAAAGACCTCAAGTTTTTTTATTGCCCATATTTTTTTACAGCTTTTATTATTTTGGCAGGAACTTCATCCCAAAGGGAATGTGTTTCCCAAGTCTGAACAACATTGCATCAGTCATTTACAAGTAAAGAAGCTTATATAAGAAAAGGAATAAGTTCTGTATTTTTTTTCCTGTGGTGTTACAACACATTTTCTTTTCCTATAGCATATCTCCTGAAATGCATTTTTATACATAAATATTAAATTCTTCCTAATTTTTCAAGGTATAATAACATAATTATTATTTATAATCAAATTAAAGTTATTCTTTCACTGAGGAAATGTGCATAGGTATTTACTTTATTCCACAGACAATTTTTGGCATCAGACTTATATGTAGGATGTAGCTGTGAATATATATGTAAAGAAGATTATTAATGAAAGCATAAGATGATGACCAGGGTTCAAATCCCAGATTTGCCACTAAATAATTGTGTGAACTTGAGCAAAATACATGACCTTCCTGAGCACTTAGTGTAATGACTATGCTAATGGTGACTGATAAATAGTGACTACTATACTAGTGATTGCTAATGTAAAAAGTCTGAGAGCCTTAAACTTCATTCAGAAAATTTACTGGTAAATAAAATATTGAAAGTATAATTTTGAAATAATTTTATGTATATTGTAAGACAAAGCAAAAGAGTAATTATTATAATTAGAATTGAAAGGTATAAAAACAAAAGATATTAAGAAAACATTAAATATAATTTTTAATTAAAAATACCAATATTAACTTATTACTAAAAACATATTTCAAGCTCTGTCCACTGAAAGAAATGACACCTCAATAGCAATGAGCACACCTAAAGCCTAAATCTTGGTTTCTAAGCACCATTCTCCAGGAAACAGAATGAAAGCTCCTTAGAAGATGGGCTGGTTTTAATTCTGTGTCCTGAAAATTGTCAGAGAACCTAAGGTATCATCTTCTGTCAGAAAACAAGTAAGTCTTGAAAGACTTAAAGGAGTCAGGCTACAAGTCACAGAGATCATCAGGAAGGGGCTCCAGCTAGGAAAATTTAGGAGATTTGGAGTGCAGAAAAAGAATAATTGATTACAAACAGTGACTAAATAAAAATCCACGTGCCCATAGAATTGAGAAAAGTAAAGAAAAATAAAAAGCTTTTCTTTACAGAAGAATGCCAGCTAATAAGTAGAAGGATTAATAAAATTGGAAAGCTACCATTCTGCAACCCTGATATAAGTTGATCTGGGCAAGAATTGATGGATGATAACATCACTAGGTAAAGTCATTGAGGACCAGAAATAACTGCCAATTATCACCCCACAGATACCTTACTTAACTGCAGAAGAAATAAATGTAACTTTACCCTTAAACAGATGGGCAATCAAATTTAGTGTCAGCAACAAAGGAGGATAATCTAACATTGTCTGTAATGTGATTCGATATGAAGTATACGACTTTACGTTTGAAATATTCTTGCCAAAAATATTTAACCTGAATCCAGTCCTGCCTCTAGATCTAACTTGAAGTTTACCAGATATAGAGCAACAAGTTAAACAACATCATGAAGAAACAATCAGACCACTACTCTGGACTTTCCCAAAAGCTGATGTTATTTTTTTTAAAAACTGTAGGCTAAAAATAATCAACAAATGCAATGAATGAACTTGGATTGGATCCCAATTTGAAGAGAAAACAGCTATAAAACATTCATGAATCTGAATGTGGCATGATATTAGATGATTATTGGTTGTCTCTTGCTATGTGACAAATTACCCCAAACTTAATGCCATACAACAAACATCTATCATTGCATAGTTTCTATGGGTCAGGAATCTGGACAAGACTTAGCTATGTATTTCTGACTTGGGGTCTTTCATAAGGTTATAGTCAAGCTGTTAACCAGGGCTGCCATCTTCTCAAGACTCAACTCAAGGAGATTCACTTCCAACTTCACTCACCTGGTAGTTGACAGGCCTCAGGTCCTGGCCACATGGACCTCACAATGGCTGCCTGAGGGACTTCACCATGTGCAGGTGGCTTCCCTCAAGAGCAATGATTCAAGAGAGACCAAGAGAGCATATCTAAGACAGAATCCACAGTGTTTTTATAACTCAATCTCAGAAGTGAAATCCCATCACTTCTGACATATTCTATTCACTAGAAGTGAGTCATTTAGTCCAGCCCACACACAAAGAGAGGGAAATTAAACTCCACCTCGCTATATTATCTGTTTGTTCAAAAAAATAAATTTTGAAATTTTAGAAAACCCAAAATTGTTCCCACAAAGAGGGCTCCTTCTACTGCATCTCATCAATTCCAGAACGCCATTCAGCCTGCGGGACACCCCCGGATCCTCACACTTCTCAAAGCCTTTCCTTTGCACATTAGTCTTACCAAGTTTTAAATCCCATCTCCTTTACTACTTAACTGTCTCCTGTGTATTTTGTTAACTGGTTGCACTAGCTTCCTTTTGCTTCTGGAAACCACCAAAAGATGTATGGTTTTGAAAACCACCACAGATAATAATGTGGCATTACTGTTAATTTTTCAGATGTGATATTAGTTTTGCAGTTATGTAATGTCCTTATTCTTAGGATACAAATACTTAAGGACTCAGGAACAATACACATGATGTCTGCAACCTATTTTCAAGCAGTTGTGCAAATATGTGTGTGTGTGTGTGTGTGTGTGTAAAAGTAATAAAGCAAATAGAGCAAAATGTTAACAAGTGTTGCATCTAGGTGGATGATAGATATGTATTCATTGTATTCCTTCACCCTTTTCATGTATTTGAAATGGTTCATAAGAAAAAGCCACAGAAAAATAATTTAGGATTGCTGTAGACTGAATTTTGTGTTACCCTCAAAATACATATGTTAAAGCTCTAACACCCAGTATGATAGTATTTGGATGTGGGACCTTTGGGTGGTAATTAAGTTTAGATGAGATCATGAGGGTGGGGCCCTCATGTGGGATTAGTGCCCTTATAAGAAGAGATACCCAAGAGCTTGCTCACTCTTTCTGCCATGTGAGGACACAATGAGAAGGTGGTCATTTGCAAGTCAGAAAGAGAGGCCTCACCAGGAACCTTTGATCTTAGCCTTCCCAGCCTCCAGAACTGGGGGAAATAATTGACCATTGTTTAAGCCACCCAGTCTGGGGCACTTTGTTATGGCAGCCCCAGCAGACTAAGAGAAGGGTGTTGAAATGATTGGAGTTGCCTGCTAACAGTGATAAAAATCTTTGCTTTTCCACAAAGCTAACGTGTCAGGAGAAGAAATCCAGCAGTAAGAAGAGTTTATTGAGGCAGGGAGTTGCAGGGCTGGAGGGCTATGGAGGTGGAAATTATTGTCATTAATGTGGATCACTTTCACACCCCAATGTCCCGTCTCACTTCAGCTTGGCAGTGACATCACTGTAGACATGGAAAACCCAAAATTGTTCCCACAGAGAGGGCTCCTTCTACTGCATCCCATCAATTCCAGAACGCCATTCAGCCTGCGGGACACCCCTGGATCCTCACACTTCTCAAAACCTTTCCTTTGCACGTTAGTCTTACCAAGTTTTAAATCCCATCTCCTTTACTACTTAACTGTCTCCTGTGTATTTTGTTAACTGGTTGCACTAGCTTCCTTTTGCTTCTGGAAACTGATCATTATTATTAATCCCTTAATTAGTTCCTTGTTACAAAAACTTTTAAACACAATTAAAGGATTATATAGTGTTAAAGAAAATACAGTATTAGTTCTCACACTCAAACAGGCTCTAGCTAATTTGAAAAGATCAAGCACTTCATTGCATAAATAAAAGTTAGAATTAAGAGATACTTCCCTTTGATAATATCTCTTACAATTACAAGACCCAAATAAAAGTTAGAATTAAGAGACACTTCCCTTTGATAATATCTCTTACAATTACAAGACCCATATCCTTCGACCCAGCAAGTGTTCTAGGATTTTGTCTTACTGATACATTCTCATGCATGAGAAATAATAGAAGATTACTCATAGCAGCCTTGTTTATAATACCATGCAGAATATTACTATTTGGTGTTTCAAATCAATAAAAAGAGAAAATACAGTGTGCAGAGTATGTTGCCACTTGTGTTAAAAATTAATAAAAAGAATAAATATATGTACATACAGAATATTTCTAGAAAGGTACATAAGAAATGGTTAACAGAGGTTGCCTCTGAGGAGAACGACTCGGTGTCAGGAGGAAGGGGCTGGAACAAGGCTTTTCACCATATACTCTTGTGTCCATTTAAAATTTTGTATCTTGTGGCTATATTATCTGTTCAAAAAAATAAATTTTGAAATTTTAGAAATCCTTAGAGCTTAACCAGTGTAAGACATATTCTCTACAAACTCTTTATTTTAAAGTGTTTTGTTTTGTTTTGTTTCTAATTAGAAAAAACTATGTATGAAATAACCTGTCCAGGTCACTGGGTCCCATGCTGCCCCCAGCCATCCTGCTGAAAGCAGACTTTGGAAGTAATGTGAGCATGCTCACCCACATGTGGTTCTCAATTTCTGCCTCATGAACATGATCACAGATGCACACACACTTCCACATACTGTACCTGGTTCAGCTTGTCTTTCTCTTCAGTACAGGAGGCAGCTTTCCTCTGCTCTCTGTTTACTTCTGAAACCAGCCTCATGAGAGTTTCTCTGCTAGCTTTTGCCTCCATCTCATGGACATTTACAGTCTCTTCAAGAGTAGCAATTTGTCCTTTCAGAGATGCATTTTCCTTGCACAGCTCTCTAATCTGAAGAGAAAGCATTTACAGCTGTCCTACAAAAATTAACAATTTCATGCCACTTTCTCTAAGCAACTCCCAATGACTGTATCACCATATGAAAACAGCGAAAGCATTATACCCTGATCCATTCAAAAGATTACATTTGCAAAGGCAGCCTCTAAACCCTTTTGTTATGTGTTAAGTGACCCAGTGATGAAATTAAAGTCAATCCAAAGGTGGTTACAAGGCAACAAAGATGAGTTCAACCAAAAGCATTCTGAACACAGAAAAAGTATCAGCAAGCCTCTGGCTGCTAAACAATCAAGGGGAGGTGATGTTCTACAGAGGTTACTGCAGGTGAGGAAGCAAGGGAGTTGTATTCAGCCCACATCCACTGGCACCAACTGCATGCAAGGTGGTCCCTGGAATGGGGTGGGGAGCAGGTGTGGGAATACAGAGAAGAAAGCAGGACTCTCTTTTTTAAAAAGAAAATCCTTCTAATTAATCTAAGCATAGAAAACTCCTGAGTAACATGTTCAAACAGGGATTATCATTGGTATCAGCAAGCCTTTTCGTCTGTATTGTGCATTTGAATTGTTAACTGGGAACATTAATGAGATTTGTAGATTTACAAGAAAGTCACATAAAACCAGACAGGCTTCCTGTCCCCAGGGAACCAGCCATGCAGACAGCTCACTCTCCACATGACAGGGTCAGCATTTGTGTAAAGAATACCTGGAGAAGTGACATATCTTGTAGCCACAGTAATTCGTGAACATTGGTGCCCTGCTCCCAGCTCATGTCATTCCTTCTCTCTTAAACACTGTTCCTCATATCCTCAGGCTCACTCCCTAGTATCTCTGAAAAGCCCCCACCTCAGAGAAGCACACGTTGGCCAGTCAACGTAAAGTGGCATCCCACGCTTCTGACCTGCTGTGTTCTCTATCCCTACATTCTGATTGATTTTTCTTCAGTGCTCCTTTTACCACATGGGATAATACTAGATTTGTATCTGTTTTTTTCCTCATCATCTTTGGCTCATGATAATGAAAACTCTAGGAAAGACAGACCTACCTAGTCTTGTCTCACTTGCTGCTTGTCCTAGAACAGCACCAAGCATACAGGAGTCACTCAGTAAATATTTGTTAAATGCATGAATGAACATCAAATAAGCTCTTGGGAATGCCTCCTTGGTTCCTTGGGAGTGTGTGTGCACTTGTGGTCATGAGGCGCATGTGGCTGTAAACGTGAGGGGACAGCTTTGAAAAGTAAGGAGGGGAACACCTGGTGAGTGTTAATCTAGACAGCAGCCTTTCTGCTCTTGGCAAGTTTTTTTTTTTAAGACAGGCACCTGCTCAAGTGTTCAGGATGCTAAAGCTCTAGGATCTCAGTATCTGTTATAAAATAAGGGTCTGTTATCCAGGTATGGCGAGGCCAACAGATTAGGAGACAGTTGCCATAGAAAGATAGCCTGTTACTCAAGAGGAAGGGCCATGCCATGACATGGAGGGCCACACAGGGAAGCACCAGGGCTGGTCAGGAGACAGAGGGAGTGAGGGGAAAAGGTAGGCAAGAGTCTTCACTGTGGCTTCCACAGAAAGGAATAGGGAAGGCAAGGTAAGCAGGCTTGGGATTGGCTACTTGGAATGATTTGCGCAGGCTCTGGAGTGTTGGGGTTGTCCCTAGGTATGTGGTACCTGGCTCTAGGGGTGATTAGAGAAGGTGGAGAGGGGCCCAGAGTATCAGAGCCTGACAGAGGAAATGTTGGGGTGGGGACTCTGGATCATGGTTTGCATATGAAAGCCATGCTCCTAGGAGAGTCATTTACTAGGAACTGGCTTACCTGGGATCAGCAGTCTCTGCTGGGTCAGGAAAGCCCCAGATGTCAAAGCGATAGAAATACAGAAAATAATAAGGCATGTTTAATGAAGTATCAACACCCAGATTAGCACCTGGAGATTTTCTCTAATGTGGGAGCTTCTCAATTCCCTTTTCTTTTCTCCACCCCTTGGCTTTAAAGATAATCCCCTGAACTACAGTGAAAAGTAGACTTTTATAGTCAGGCTCCTGATTACATGTGAGCAACAGGGAAGAGGAGGAGATGCATCCAGGATCCTCAAGGGTATAAGGAGACTCTAGCCCTTAGAAATCAAAATCCAGCAGTGAGGCAGTACTCCTGAAGATGAAATTATTTTGTGCTTTCAAAGAGTATAAGTGGGGATCTTACGAATAAACAATTGAGAGATGGCCTCTAAGAATGGCCACATGGATTGATGGACAATATTGAAGAAGACAATGGAAAGATAGTCCATGCTCATGGATTAGAAGAATTAATATTGTTAAAATGTCCATATTACCCAAAGCAATCTGTAGATTCAATGCACTCCATATCGAAATCTCAATGGCATTTTTCAAAACAGTGTGGTGTTGGCATAAAAACAGACACATAGATCAATGGGACAGAAAAGTGAGCCCAGAAAAAAGCCATGCATATGTGGTCAATTAATTTATGATAAAAGAGGCAAGAATATTCAGTGGAGAAAGGACAGTCACTTCAATAAATGGTGTTGGAAAAACTGGGTAGCTATATGGAAAAGAATGAAACTAGACTATTATCTTACACTGTACACAAAAATTAACTCAAAATTAAAGACTTGAATGTAAGACCTGAAACCATTAAACTCCTAGAAGAAAATATAGGTGGTAAGCTCCTTAACATCAGTGTTGGCCATGTGTTTTTGGATCTGACTCCAAAAACAAAGACAACAAATGCAAAAATGAACAAGTGGGACAACATCAAGCTAAGATAAGCAAAGGAAACCAACAACAAAATGGCAAGGGAACCTACTGAAAGGCAGAAAATATTTTCAGATCATATATCCAATAAGGGGTTAATATATAAAATACATAAAAAACTTATACAATGAAATAATGAAAACAAAAACAAAAAAAACAAGCAATCCAATTAAAAAATGGGCAGATCTGAATAGACATTTTTCCAAAGAGGGCATACAGATGGCCAACAGACACATGAAAAGATGTCACTAACATCTAACAAATGCAAATCAAAACCACAATGAGATATCACCCCTGTCTCTCAGAATGGCTAGTTTCAAAAAGACAAGAAATAACAAGCATTGGCAAGGATACAGAGAAAGGGGACCCTTGTGCACGGTTGGTGGGAATGTAAATTAGGGCAGCCACTATGGAAAACATATGGGGATTCCTCAAAAAATTAAAAATACAACTACCATATGATCCAGCAATTCTTCTTTTGGGTATTTATCTGAAGAAAATGAAAACACTAATTCAAAAAGAAATACGAACCCTTACGTTCAGTGCAGTATTATTTACAATAGCCAAGATACGGAAACAACCTAAGTGTCCACTGATGGGTAAAAGGATAAAGAAGATGTGGACATCTTATTCTGGTTACAACCTCTGTGTGTGTGTGTGTGTGTGTGTGTGTGTGTGTAATCTGGTTACAACCTCTGTGTGTGTGTGTGTGTGTGTGTGTGTGTAATTCAGTGGAAAATGGATATCATATATATGTAATGAAATGCTGCTCAGCCAAAAAAAGAATGAAATCTTGCCATTTATGACAACATGGATGGACCTAGGGGGTAAAGTGAAATGAGTCAGAGAAAGAAATACCATATGATTTCACTTACATGCAGAATCTAAAAAACAAAACAAATTAACAAACAAGACCAAACAAAACTCACTGATACAGAGACAGAGTAATGGTTACTGGGGTGGGGCCAAGTTTGGGGGTAGGCAAAAATGGTAGAAGGGGGCTGGGAGGTACAGACATCCAGTTGTGGAAAGAGTAGATTACAGAGAGGTGATATAAAGCATGGTTCTGTATGTCAGTACGGTGACTACAGACAACAGTACTGGAATGCATATTTGAAAGCTGCTGGGAGAGTGAATCTTGCAAGTTCTCATCACAAGAAAAAAATGTTTTTGTAACTTTGTACGGTGATGGATGGTGAGTAGACTTACTGTGGTGATTGATCACTTTGCAGTGCATACAAAACAAGTGTCAAATCATTACACTGTAGATCTGAAATTAACATAATGGTGTATGTCAATTATACCTCTATTTAAAAAGAGGTTGGGTGCATGGAAATCTGTCAGGAAACAAGGACATTAAAAGGGTGTGAATAAGCGAAGTCATGGTGAGACTCAAGCACTTTCAGGTGCCCTAATGTATCACCAGGTGTCAAGTGAATTACTCAGTTGATATAATTAATTTCTATCTTAATCTACCGTTAGGGTAGAATTTTTACACTTTGTTTCAATGTAAAATTTAGAAGTATTTTAGAACTAACTGTAATTTTATACTCAATATGTATCCCAAAAATACTACATAGCTTCTTTTGGTGTTGGTTGTGTGTGTGTTTCTGTCTGTTATTAAAACAAAAAAAGTCTTCCTAAAATAGATTATTAAAATGAATAATTAATTGTATTTGACAACCTAAATATATTTTAGACAAAACAATTAATCCCTTCTGGAGAATAATTCATCCCAAATAATGCTAGAAAGGATCTTGGAATTGAGGCTCAGAGAAGTGATGTGGTTTATCCCAAGTCACACAGTCAGTTAATGCTGCACTTGGGCTACTGACCCCTTCTCCCGCCACCCCATTCTCAACCCCTGCACTTCCTTTCATGGCACATGTCAGAATGAACACTACATTCATAGCATTTTTAATCTGCATAAAAATACCTTTAGAATTAAATCTTCATCTGATGCCTTTTCATTCTTCTTGTCTGGATCTAAGCAATCATGCAGTTGAACTAGAAATTCTTCCTGTTTCCTGCAATTCTCCAAGGCTTGATTCTTATTCTCCTCCTTTTCCTTTAAACACTTTCTATGGGGCAAACAATAAATAATTTGTTTTACCACCATTTCTAGGGTGTTAGAGCTTAAAACCTTCTGTGGGAGAGAACCAGTCATCATGCTCAACACAACACGGTTTCCCAGGCACAGAGCCCATTACTCTCATGCAAGCCCTGTGAGGGAGGGAGAAAACCGGAAGCAATTTAGGAGTACCTACACTTTGCAGAAATCTTAGATCTAGCAACAGCAAGGGAGACAGATTCCCTGCCTCTTGTCCTCAACCTTTTAGGATCTGCAGAGTGACACACAGTCTTTAAATGACACATGGATCCATGTAGTCATGGATCTCGGGGCTTCTTGGGAATGAAGGAGAGTGTTGTTACACTGGTTCTAGGGGGTCATGCTTTGTTTTACTTTCAAAGGCTATCCACTAATCTATAAGGGTTGGTTAAGGCAAACCTTGATTCATGACCAAGCACAACTATAATAAATACATCAGGAGCAGGGGATGCTCCCACCCCTGGAAAAGAGAAGTGTTCAGTCACCAGCAAGGATCTTTATTAGTTTCATACACCCAGAGTTTTAAAGAATATTGGAATGGGTCAGTTCTCAAGGAAAAAATCAGTCAATTTGTGCTCTGCTATAAACATTTGATTTGAAATCTCAGATGGGTTTGCTGAAATAGCATGGTCTATTTCTAATGTTTTAAATGTTAGCGATTAAGAGATCATCAAAAAATAAGACATATTTTAAAGGCAAATTAGAATCATTTCAGTAATTTGGTATCATTTTTTCAGTACTCTAGATAATAAACATGATTATTGCTTTCTCTTTTTATCATGTTGAGTGTTTACTGTAAATTCTTTCACTCTATTCAAAGATTAACAAAGCATGTAATTGCATATACTCAAAAACATATCATATTTCTATTTAGAAAAATCTTCAACAATAAAGGACCAACATCAATATATCTCTAAGTTCTTATTTTTAGCATATGAAAGGTAATATTTATTCAGTCTCTTTAAGTCATGAAAGGAACAGTTAATGCTATGGCTCAGACTGATTTATGTATATGATTCAATACATTCACTCCAAGATTCCAATCTCATTTTTCCATTCTGAGCATTTCTAAACAAGTTCTATTTACATATCACTGTGACCCAACAAACTTTCAGGAATCTACCCTAAGGACATAATCACGTAAATGTACATAGATATTTATTGCATCCACTTGCGATTTTTTGAGTGGGACTAACATAAGTGTCTTCAGGAAATAGGAAAGACTACTGGTTAAGTAAATTTTGGTATTTCAGGCAATGGAATATCATGGGCCATAAAAAAATGACATAATGAATGCTTCTTTAAATGTCTATAACATATTAAGTAGAAATAGTACATTATGTGATGTCATTTATGTACAACTGTCTGAAAATCTGTTCAACAAAATGTTAACTACAGCTTTTCTGGGATCTTAAGATTTTGAGTAATTTTAATCTCTTTTTGGCACTTTTCTATATTTTTAAACCCTTTTCATAATGAGTATAGGTCATTTTTATTATTCATCTATTTAATGAATATTTATTGGGCACTTACTCTGCAACAGGCCCTATTAAATAAGGTATTAAACATACAGTAATAAACAAAACTGATAAACATCCTTGTCCTCATGGAGCTTACATTCTAGTTGGAAAGACAAACAATAATCAAAGTACTAGTGTATGTAAAGTGAATGCTATGCTATAAAATGGCTAGAGAGAAAAGATAAAGTAAGAAAGGGGATAAGACATTAGGGGAGAGTGGGTTAAAATTTTAGATGTAGTTGTTCCTGAGAAACCTCACTGAGAAGGTGAGTTCTGAGTGAAGGCATAAAGGAAGCAGAGGGGCAGCCATGCAGTATCTGGGGGAAGAGCTTTCCAAGCAGGGATTAGCAAGTGCAAAAGTCCTGCAGTAGGGTCAATACCCAATCATACTGGTCAAGGGACAGCAAAGCCAGTGAGTTGGAATGGAAAGAATAAGGGAGAGAATGGAAGCAAACCAAGGTGAAGATGGCCTTTAAGGTCATAGATGTTTTGTCTTTACCTGAGTGAGAAGAAAAGTCATCAGAGGTCTTTGAACAAAAGACTGATATGGTCCAACTGTGTTTTAGCAGGGTCATTCTGGCTTCAGGGGGCTCAAGCAGAAGCTGGAAAACCACTGAAGCAGCTACTGCAAACGTCCAGGTGAGAGATGATAATTGCTTGGACGAGGTTAATGGCAATGAGCGTGGCAATGGGAAGTAGTCAAAATATAGATGTATTCTAAAGGCTCAGAGAATGGTATCTGCTGAAGGATCAGACTAATACACCCAGAGTTTTAAAGAATATTGGAATGGGTCAGTTCTCAAGGAAAAAATCAGTCAATTTGTGCTCTGCTATAAACATTTGATTTGAAATCTCAGATGGGTTTGCTGAAATAGCATGGTCTATTTCTAATGTTGTAAATGTTAGCGATTAAGAGATCATCAAAAAATAAGACATATTTTAAAGGCAAATTAGAATCATTTCAGTAATTTGGTATCATTTTTTCAGTACTCTAGATAATAAACATGATTATTGCTTTCTCTTTTTATCATGTTGAGTGTTTACTGTAAATTCTTTCACTCTATTCAAAGATTAACAAAGCATGTAATTGCATATACTCAAAAACATATCATATTTCTATTTAGAAAAATCTTCAACAATAAAGGACCAACATCAATATATCTCTAAGTTCTTATTTTTAGCATATGAAAGGTAATATTTATTCAGTCTCTTTAAGTCATGAAAGGAACAGTTAATGCTATGGCTCAGACTGATTTATGTATATGATTCAATACATTCACTCCAAGATTCCAATCTCATTTTTCCATTCTGAGCATTTCTAAACAAGTTCTATTTACATATCACTGTGACCCAACAAACTTTCAGGAATCTACCCTAAGGACATAATCACGTAAATGTACATAGATATTTATTGCATCCACTTGCGATTTTTTGAGTGGGACTAACATAAGTGTCTTCAGGAAATAGGAAAGACTACTGGTTAAGTAAATTTTGGTATTTCAGGCAATGGAATATCATGGGCCATAAAAAAATGACATAATGAATGCTTCTTTAAATGTCTATAACATATTAAGTAGAAATAGTACATTATGTGATGTCATTTATGTACAACTGTCTGAAAATCTGTTCAACAAAATGTTAACTACAGCTTTTCTGGGATCTTAAGATTTTGAGTAATTTTAATCTCTTTTTGGCACTTTTCTATATTTTTAAACCCTTTTCATAATGAGTATAGGTCATTTTTATTATTCATCTATTTAATGAATATTTATTGGGCACTTACTCTGCAACAGGCCCTATTAAATAAGGTATTAAACATACAGTAATAAACAAAACTGATAAACATCCTTGTCCTCATGGAGCTTACATTCTAGTTGGAAAGACAAACAATAATCAAAGTACTAGTGTATGTAAAGTGAATGCTATGCTATAAAATGGCTAGAGAGAAAAGATAAAGTAAGAAAGGGGATAAGACATTAGGGGAGAGTGGGTTAAAATTTTAGATGTAGTTGTTCCTGAGAAACCTCACTGAGAAGGTGAGTTCTGAGTGAAGGCATAAAGGAAGCAGAGGGGCAGCCATGCAGTATCTGGGGGAAGAGCTTTCCAAGCAGGGATTAGCAAGTGCAAAAGTCCTGCAGTAGGGTCAATACCCAATCATACTGGTCAAGGGACAGCAAAGCCAGTGAGTTGGAATGGAAAGAATAAGGGAGAGAATGGAAGCAAACCAAGGTGAAGATGGCCTTTAAGGTCATAGATGTTTTGTCTTTACCTGAGTGAGAAGAAAAGTCATCAGAGGTCTTTGAACAAAAGACTGATATGGTCCAACTGTGTTTTAGCAGGGTCATTCTGGCTTCAGGGGGCTCAAGCAGAAGCTGGAAAACCACTGAAGCAGCTACTGCAAACGTCCAGGTGAGAGATGATAATTGCTTGGACGAGGTTAATGGCAATGAGCGTGGCAATGGGAAGTAGTCAAAATATAGATGTATTCTAAAGGCTCAGAGAATGGTATCTGCTGAAGGATCAGACTTGGAGTATGAAAGAGGAAGAAACTAAGTATGTTACCAAGGTTTTCTACCTGACTAACTGGAAGAATGGAATTACCATTAACTGAGATGAGGAAACACACAGCAGGATTTTGTGGAGCTCAGTTTTGGACATGTTACGTTTGAGATACCTGTTGGGCATCCACATGGAGATGACCAGTAAGTAGTAAGATATCTGAGTTTGAGTTCTGGGAAAAGATCGAGGCTAGATCAAGAAATGTGGGAGTCAGAAGCATTTAAATCCGATTTAAAGAGATCACCAAGAGAATGAATTAAGATAGAAACAAGAAGAGAGAAAGGCCTGAGCCCAGGGCACTCAGGATTTGGAAGTAAGGAGATAGAAAGGAAAAAGCAAGAGACTATATGACAGAGCAGCTAGAAAGATAAAAAGTGGGCGTGTGTAGTGTTGTGGAAGCCAAAAGAAGAAAGTGGTTCAGGGAGAGAGCCCAACTGCGACTGCTGTACCAATAGGTCAAGTAAGATAAAGACTGATCAGTTAATTTGCAATGTGGTCACTGGTGATCTTAATGAGTGGCTTCAGTGGGAGCATATCCAAGAGAGAAGAGATGAGAGAAACTGGGGGACAGAGAATGTATACAAATATTTTATGTAAAAAAGAGAGAAAGAGGACAGGAGCTGGAATTGTTAGGTTTTTTTTTTAAAGATGGAATAAGCAAAATAAATATCAAGTATTTTATTAATGAAGTTATTTATGTTTTTACGTGTAGAAGTTTAAAAGTATATTTTGGGAACAAGCAGTTCTCAGTTTTGTCTCAAGAATTACCCTTTGCCAGAACTAAGTGTGGAAAAACCTAGGTTTCACGAGTTCTCTGCATAAACTGGCAATAAAACCTAACAAGGAATGTTCCGGGTGGTCTGGAGTGGTCTGGGCTTCTGGGCATTTTTATAACTAGGTTCTGAAAAAACACCTCCCTCTGTGCACTACTCTACTGCCTCTGGTTAAACCTCTACTTAGAGGAAATCTTCCAATTATATATATAAGCATTTGTAGCCCTAATCCATAAGACAGAAACATGTTTAGGACAATGTCATGTTTGTTAAGACTCTTGATGACATTTAGAAATGAGCTTAGGAATAATCTTCGAGACTCCAGACATATTTGAGGGCAATAATTTTTTTGTTTCCAAATTGAGTGTCACGGCCAAATAATACAAAATGCCAGTACCTTCAAAGGCATAACCTATCAGCAACCAGTGTTTTAACACTAAGAAATACGCTGAAATACCCTTACTGTAATTTCTTGTCTAGTTCTACAACTTTCTTCTTTAACTCCTGGTTTTCCTTGATTGCATTGTGAGCTGTGATTTCTGTTCTAATTTTAGAAGTGGAAATTGCTGCTGTTTCTTCTTCTAGCTCCTTAACTCTGTCTCTCAAAGAAGCGAGCAAAGATGATTTTCTGGCATTGTTTTCTTTGTAGTTCTCTATTTCAGCTTTCAATTCTTGACAGGAGACGTCTTGAGAAAGCACCTTGGATCTGAGGTCTCGAAGCTAACGTGGAAAAGAAGTAAAAAGAGGAAAAGGATTTCAATGGTGTAAGTTTGGAGAACCTTTAAGAAACCCAAAACCATCATTCAACATTTCACTCTTTTGTTCATGGATTAATCCAACTTTATTTGCCTCTTTTTTTTTTCATATTTGTATCTGTAACACCAGATGAGAAATTAGGCCTAATTATTGGACTTCATATTCTGTCTTTTTCCAAACCAATTGAGCAATGTCTTGTGGTGATTTGGTCTCACTCAAGAGACATTTATGGCAAATTTTGCAAAAAGCAATAAAATATTTTGCAATGGTAGCTCATTTTCTAAATCTGCATTTGCTGCTATTGCTGCTGACAATGAAACAAGGAACCTACAAGCTATGCTATTTATAATTTATTCCATGGTCACAACTGGTTCCCGAGTAAATATGGACTACTTGATATATCACTATATTTCTCCCACGTGTTTTCTGGACCCTTATTGTGGATGATAAAGAAAAGTAATATTAAGATTTCTGGGAAAAATATGGGAGAAAAGGAAAATCCTTATAGGATTTATACAAAGGAGACATTTTAATTTTTATGAATTCTGTGGCATCAAAATGCTGAACCACGTATGTGCTCTGTTAAGATGTCAGGTATGCCCTATAAGCAAAATTCATGAATTCATGTACTCCTTCAAGCCGTGAGTATGCATGCATACACTTACTCACATGCATACACACGCATGTGCGCATGTTATCCACTCATCTTTCAGTGGGATCCTGGCAGTCTTGTAAGACCACTAGTCACCTCACAGACAAGCCTAGGGCTCTTTAAGGTCACCAGGCTATGGGCAGTATGTGTTCAGCCCACGGGATAGATGGATTGCACACTTTCCAAGGACACCCCCAGCAAATCAGAACTACATGGAAAGGATTCTGAATTCCATCCTAGGAGCTGTAGACTACAAGCAATCCACATTAAAAAATATATATCCCAAGAGATCCTCAAGTGCCCCAAAGCCCTCACAGCTTCAACACAGTCCTCGGGAACCCCCATATCTCTCAAGGCTGTGGTAGGCCCTTGAAATCTAGAATCGAGCCTATTTCACTTGCTTTGCAGCAAGGCAAAGGCATAACTTCTCAGGAATTCTCTGCAAGTGGCTGAGTGCACAGTAAGACAATAACTATAAATTTTGCTAAATTTTGCCAAAAGGTTTAAATCTGTACTCTCCTGTCCTATTTCTCATCACTTCTATACTCTGCTTCACTCTGTAAGAAGCCAAAAAGGCCCATTTCTGAGTTAATTGAAGATGGACAATCTTACCTCAGACTGAGCACAGTCAAATTTGACCAAGGTTGCTGCAAGTTCACTTCGAGCGTCTTCAGCCACATTCCAATAGTGGTTTAATCGCTCCCGAGTGATGGGGCCTTCCAAAAAATGGTCGTGAGTTTTCTGATAGGGTTCCGCAAAAGACAAAAGAGTGATGAGCAATCTTTTCCGTGCAGCTATACAAAGATTAAATACAGAGCACTCTTTTGTTGTCCAAATGTGTAAAAAATGCTGCCCAGAGAAGTGTTTTGGTCTGATCATTTCATTCTTATTCTCAAACTTCTAAGGGTGGCAGGAGACAGTGTAGGAACAAATGATTTTCTCCCCCAGGATGGCATTTAAGAAATGGCCTCTGCCACATTATAGAGTTTCCTGCCACCCAACCCCAATATTTGGCCTCTGACCAGTACTGAAAGCAAAGAATTGTCGGAAGAGACACAACGTAGTATCACGTTACCTAGGAAGCAGTTTTCATTGTTCTTCTGTTTCCAGACAACAAATGCATCTCATCTGGTCTGTTGAATAAAGTGTTTTGTTTGTGTATCAAAGAGAACATGTGAGTTCAATGCGAAATGCTGTCTCCTTCATAATGATTGATTATGACGTTTATTCTCAATCTCCAAGCCTATCTAGGGGTCATGAAGGTGACTCAAATGACTGCATGAGACCAGAGATCGTGGGGTGGTACACGGGTGCACTTCTTGCCCCATCTTGCCTCAGGAAGGGAATAGCTCTCAGCTCCACTGCAAAAATATGGATCCCAACATGGCCAAAGTATTCCAGTTTTTCAAGAAAAGTCACATATCCAGACTTACTGAAGTAAAAATTCCCAGTTTTTGCAGCTTGGCAACTAATTTAAATGTTTGAAAAAGGAACACTGTATGATCCAAATAAACACATCTGCAGAGCAGATTTGATGGTCTTGGCCTGTGAGTCGCAGTCAGGAACCTCTGGTTCTGTTTCTGTCCTACCCACGCCACAACACCTGCTTCCTTCAAGAAATTATTCCTGAGCTTGGTCATATACCTATGCCCATCTCTATGAAGTTTCCAGGGCCTGCAGTCTCTGGGAAAGACACACAAGAAAGCCATTCATTTTTGAAAGAATATGAAAGAGGTCACAAAAAGGAGGGTTTCCTGGAATTACCTGTGGGGTCTTAGGGGACACCCCAGTAACACTGGTGTATGATTGCCCTGCTACTGAGCTGCCAAAGACCACTGTTTGGAAATCCTCATGAATGCAAAAGTCAACTTACAGTCTTTAACTTTAAAACAAGCGTTGGCATGGCTAGTATGTTTCAAGCCACAAAACACCAAACAAAGCCTTCAGTGCACTTAGCAACATCTAGTGTTTGCCAATCACAACATCTCCAAGAAAATGGTAGGTATGTTGTATTCCTAGGGAGAAAGCACGAAACATTTAACTGCATCTAATAAGAGAACCACATCCTGTCAGCTTCCTTCAATATTCAGAAGGAACTTCTCCACCCTAACTACCACAGCAGTGTTTTCTAACATAGGACATGTAAGAACCTCAGTCACTTAGGAGAGGTTTGAACTACACTGTGTATGGCACACTGTTTTATACAATTCATTAGGAAAGTAAGCCCTTAAAATAGCTATGATTACTGCAAAGAAGTAAAAAGCTAAGCTTTTCAAACAATATGGCTTCTCTCTCACCAACTTTACATTTCCCTGTATGGCCCCGGAAGATGACTGGTTAGCCAGAGACGGGTAAGATTCCTCAAGGGAGGAACAACCTAAGACAGGCACAGTCGCAGGGGGGCCATCAGGTGAGAAATTGGGGATCAACAGAGGTGAGGCTTAGAACCTCACCCCCCCTGTTTTGAGAGAAATCTTCTGCATCCGTGGATGTTTTATTGCCCTTGTCTAGCTTGGATTAACACATAGTCTACAGGCACACACCTGATCATCTACATTTGCTCTCTTACAACACTAAACTATGTTTTCTACCTTTATCTTGCATCTACCTACCACTTCAGCATTTTATTAAAAATAAAAATAATAATAATAATAGGAGAAATGTGGGATCAACATATAAATCAAGTACAAAAATCAAATGAATATTCATATTTGACCTGATGGTTTATAGGTCATATTGCATGATCAAAACCGAAAGTTTCTGTGATGACTGCCCTTGTACTGTTCACCATGTAAGAATTTATTCACTCTGTAAGAATTCGTTCACCATGTAAGAACTTGTTCGTTATGCTTCAGAAGATTGGAGACTGACGAGAATTAGGCTTGAGATGGATTAATGATTGTACATTGAGCATTGACCCCCCTATACTGAATTTTATTGTTGTTAACAACCATTTGATCAATAAATATGAGAGATGCCCTCTCAAAAAAAAAAAAA